ACAGTGTACTACATACAGTATCACTGGTGCAGTGTATCATACATACAGTATCACCGGTGCATTGTATACTTCATACAGTATCACTGGTGCAGTGTATACTACCTGTGTATATGCCAGATAATGGATCCTGAAAAGGTATCTGTTATTCCTAGTATTGTGCAGCTGATATTTATTAGTGATAGCACATCAGCAGCCAGTAATAACAAATACCTGATTTTAAAGGTCAAGCAGATTTAACTGTCATCATCAATATAAATTTATATCTCTTAGTACATAAAACTTAAAAATAATTACAATTAAGTGGTTAAGGCATCCGACATTCTGCCACCACTATAGTCCTCCACCACTGGGTCGCGGGTTCGAGACCTACGTGGGGCAGTCACCAGGTACTGGCCATAAGACAGTGTTTTTTCTCTAAGAACTCCGGCTCTCCCGCCAACAAAATCTGAAACATCCTTAAATGTCCGTAGCTGTTAATAGGACGTTAAACACAAACAAACCCAACCAATAATATAATTACATCATAGTCACAATTGTAATGGTCTACCCAGAAAATGTCCTGTTGGTATATTTTAATTTGAGTGTATATACTTTTATTCTTATGTACAATATCTCTTAATAAATTGTATTATCAAAGTGTATGTGATATATATTGAGTATCTTGCTTCATCTACATTTCAAGTTTGTAAGACAGTTCAGAATTACTTCCCTTTCTTTACAGCACCAGCTTAATCACACAAAGCCGTGCTACAAAAATCTGATGTCACAAAGTATTCACTATTGTGTTAAAATAAAGGTTACTGCAAAAACAAAGCTTAAACAGAAAAAAACCTTTAACAAATCACTCTTGAGTTTACATAGCAGCTAGTTACATTCATGCGTAGAACAAAATTTTGACTAAAATCAGATGATAAATAATCAAGTCACATCCCTCAAAATCAAAATTCTGGATTTGGCACTGCATGACAAATTTTGTCAGATGTAAATATTCCACACTCAAGATGAAGTATTTTTTTTATTGCTGAATGGTTCAACTCTATAAATATACAATCGAAAAATATCTCTTATGCATGTTGCTAGCTTCCTTTACTCTAAACAACCTTCACCTTCCTTGTGAAGTCTTTTTAATAGAACACTCAAGTGATAACCCTGTGTGTTCAACTGCCTGAGTTACTCGAGAGTCACCAGAGGCATCCCAGTGAAGGTTGCCATACAAAATTAGGGAAGTAACTCCATCTTATCAATAATGTTTTTCAACTTCTTTTGGGTAGATCTGATTTTTGCTATTATGATTTTCTACAAAATGTAATTTTAAAATGAAGTTACAAAATTTCTTCAAGTAGAAAAAAGAAAAATAGATTTGGAAACTTATATTATTGAAAAAACCAAATGATGATGAATGTGTACATTATATGGTATCGGTAGGTAAATAAACAAGTTGTTAAGATGTTTAACTACCATTGTTATCTCGCTATATATTTGTATGTGTTAGAATTGCTGCCTGCATTTCTCTATACAGGGAATCTGTGGGTAAATATCCTAATAAATATTATTAAAAGCAACAATAATGTGCGTCTGTTTTGACTTCACAAGATAGGAGTTTTGCAATTTTGCAAGGAAAATGAAACTGAAAACTTGAGTCTATAAAACTTTGCACAGTTAAGTGAGGATGAACAGTAGTTGAGAGGGAGTAGTCAAGGGATGTGTAGGGTTACACTGATTGATTTGGTTTAGTATTGTGTATGCGCCCTTGTGATCGCGCAGAACTGATGCCGACTTTATAGTGCCGAAGACACCCAGCAGGACTCCCCGCCCAGTCACATTATACTGACAACAGGCAATCCAGTCGTCCCACTCCTAAATTGCTGAGCGTTAGGCAGAAGTAGAAACCACCATTTTTACAGACTCGGGTATGTCTCGGCCAGGGGACAGAACCCAAAGCCTTCCTCAAAGGGGCGACCGCTCAACTAAAGGCCAAAAGTAAGGCATTGTCAAGGGAGACATTAGGAAGAAGAAAGTTGTTTAGAAAGAAGAGAAAAGATAAAATCCCAAATTTTGTCTCCCCTTATGATCATGCAATGGGTGCAGCAGGAACAATTCTTAAGCCCTACCTGCAGGGTCTAGTTACACTGAGCATTGTGTAAGTAGTCCAGGGATGTCCAGGGTTACACTGAACATTGGGTTAAGAATCCAGGAATGTTGAGGGTTACACTGAACATTGTGTAAGTAGTCCAGAGATGTTGAAGGTTACACTGAGCATTGTGTAAGTAGTCCAGAGATGTTGAGGGTTACACTGAACATTGTGTAAGTAATCCAGGAATGTTGAGGGTTACACTTAACATTGTGTAAGTAGTCCAGGGATGTCCAGGGTTACACTGAACATTGTGTAAGTAGTCCAGATATGTTGAAGGTTACACTGAACATTGTGTAAGTAGTCCAGAGATGCTGAGGGTTACACTGAACATTGTGTAAGTAGTCCAGGATGCTGAGGGTTACACTGAACATTGTGTAAGTAGTTCTGGGCTGTTGAGGGTTACACTGAACATCGTGTAAGTAGTCCAGGGATGTTGAGGGTTACACTGAACATCGTGTAAGTAGTCCAGGGATGTTGAGGGTTACGCTGAACATTGTGTAAGTAGTCCAGGGATGTTGAGGATTACACTGAACATCGTGTAAGTAGTTCTGGGTTGTTGAGGGTTACACTGAACATTGTATAAGTAGTTCTGGGTTGTTGAGGGTTACACTGAACATTGTATAAGTAGTTCTGGGTTGTTGAGGGTTACACTGAACCTTGTGTAAGTAGTCCAGGGATATTGAGGGTTACACTGAACATTGTGTAAGTAGTTCTTGGTTGTTGAGGGTTACACTGAACATTGTGTAAGTAATCCAGGGATGTTGAGGGTTACACTGTATATTGTGTAAGTAATCCAGGGATGTTGAGGGTTACACTGTATATTGTGTAAGTAATCCAGGGATGTTGAGGGTTACACTGTATATTGTGTAAGTAATCCAGGGATGTTGAGGGTTACACTGTATATTGTGTAAGTAATCCAGGGATGTTGAGGGTTACACTGTATATTGTGTAAGTAATCCAGGGATGTTGAGGGTTACACTGTATATTGTGTAAGTAATCCAGGGATGTTGAGGGTTACACTGAACATTGTGTAAGTAGTTCTTGGTTGTTGAGGGTTACACTGAACATTGTGTAAGTAGTCCAGGGGTGTCCAGGGTTACATTGAACATTGTGTAAGTAGTCCATGGTAGTCCAGGGTTACTTTGAACATTAAGTAAGTAGTCCATGGATGTCTAGGGTTACACTGAACATTGTGTAAGTAGTCGACGGATGTCAAGGGTTACACTGAACATTGTGTAAGTAGTCCATGGATGTCTAGGGTTTCTTTGAACATTGTGAAAGTAGTCCATGGGTGTCCAGGGTTACACTGAACATTGTGTAAGTAGTCGAGGGATGTCCAGGGTTACACTGAACATTGTGTAAGAAGTCCAGGGATGTCCAGGGTTACACTGAACATTGTGTAAGAAGTCCAGGGATGTCCAGGGTTACACTGAACATTGTGTAAGAAGTCCAGGGATGTCCAGGGTTACACTGAACATTGTGTAAGAAGTCCAGGGATGTTGAGGGTTACACTGAACATTGTGTATGTAGTCCAGAGTTGTAGATGGTTACGCTGAACATTGTGTAAGTAGTCCAGGGTTGTTGAGGGTTACGCTGAACATTGTGTAAGTAGTCCAGGGATGTTGAGGGTTACGCTGAACATTGTGTAAGTAGTCCAGGGTTGTTGAGGGTTACACTGAACATTGTGTAAGTAGTCCAGAGTTGTTGAAGATGCTGGTAAGTTTAGTGTTATAAGCCTTGCTTTTGTTGAGGATGACAGATATGACATTTGACATAAAGTAATTACTGTGTGGTCTGTCTGTCCACACTTTTGTTTCCAGAGATGAATCTTAAAGTCAAATTTCATTGTTAGTGAAAATAAACTATCAGGATAGAGGGAGAAGTATGTTCTTATATCAGAATCCAAAAGACTGACCATATGAGAATTTGACACATTGATACACTTTGATATTTTGATGTGCACTGAGAGTTTAAAAGTTTTTATTTTCAATTTCACTCTTGCTAAAAATAAACTGATGGGGGAGGGAATGTATCGTGGTCCCCATCTTGGAATCCAAAACACTAATTAAATTGGACATGGTGATATTCTGCGATACGTAGATGTGTGAAAGAGGTTTAGAAATATTCAAGTACAAGGTCACTGTTACTAAAACCTACTGGGGGTGGGAGTCGAAGATCATGGTGGAACCCTTGCTGACCTGTCAGTGTTTCAGTTTTATGTTTCAAAATTTCAATGCACAAACTTGTTTTTGTTTCATGTTTCTTAGACCAATTCTCACAAAAATGTCTTTTGTAACAATGAATATTGATATTTAGTTAGTTAGAAAACATTGACTAAAAGTAACTGATAGAACAGTTAAAAGCTGGTACATCTCAGAGTCTTTTAAAACAAAACACATTATGGTTCTTCAGAATTTATTTATACATCGTATTAAATCAATACTTATGGCTTAATTATCACACTGCTCATTGCATGAGCTTTATATTCATTACAATCATAGATTTAAGATTGAACCTACTTCATTGGCCATAATCACAACAGGTATACCTCGACCCAAATAACTAATAAAGGCTAAAGGCTGGGTTTGTTTTAGACAAACTACAACAATCAAAGTGTGTCTGAAGTTGAACGGTTGTATATTTGCTAAAAGTCTGAGGAGTTAGGCTTTCGACCTGCATATGCTTTTAATATTTAGCAGGTGACCATGAGGGCACCATTAAGAGAAACTGGACTTTGAGGCTTCACTTGATCATGTTTGTGTAACGGGAGAAGAAAAATGCACGACTTGACTGGTATTCAAACCCTGGGCCTCCGAAGTCTAGATGGATGCTTTAATCAATTGAACATATTGGTTGTTAACTATCAACCATGTTCAGTTTAGCTGTACTTGTCAACAAGTTTTATTCCTATATTCATTCATATGTATGCTACAGCATTGTCCTTATAAGATAAACTAGTATCTATAAAATGTCCTATGCCAGTGTTTTCTGTCAAAATATATCGTGTTTATTACACAAAAAATAGCAGTTCTGTAAAACAAAGTATCAGGGAAATAAAAGATTATCTCAGATTGAAGTCACCTCATGAAATATGTAAACCTCATTCAGATTTGCAAGACTCACATTGGAATTTCTTTGAAACTGAAATTAACTACAAAGGTTTCTTTTTTTGCAATGATGATACCTACATGACCTCAAAATTAGATTTTTCATTAACACATGGCAATAATCTAGCCACAAATCAACAATTTCTGTATATTTTCATTCGCTTTGTTGACTAATACCAATACTTGTACATTATATACTCTAAATGACATTGCCTAAGTCCTGCTATTGAATCAACATTCTTACTTACTCATGTTACTACATGTATATTGAGCATTCATTTGATATGTTTTACATGTGTTCATTTTTTTTAAGGGGGGGGGGGGGGGGACACGTAGTTACTAGTTACAGGGGAATTCGTCCCTATACTATAAACTTATTTCAAGAAACTTCCTTTATCTGTGATTAATTAACCAAGGGATCGATAGATATATCTACATGAGCTTATCATCTGTAGAATTTACATAAAATAAAAATAACTGGCTGAAATGTTTTTTAAAAACAAATCAAAAAGAGGTAAAGATAAGTAATGCTTAGCAGAAAACATATTATGCCTATAAATATAATTGTAGGTAAGTAATAAATGCAATACCACACTATCTTAATATGACATCTCAAACAGCACATATTTTCCGTGTTATGTACATGTTTGTCCACACAAAAACTTGTGCTATTTGTGATGTTAGAAATGTTGTGTTGATTATTTATATAAATTCATTACTAATATCGTCTTATAAATGGTTAAATTGTGAAAACTAGTCATGGAAAATCTGATTAAAATATTAACTGATCATCAGTAGGCTAGGAACAAGGTGTGCCAGATGGATGATTATCAATTGATGATTAGAATTGTTACTTACAAACACTTCAAAAATTAAAGCATTTTATTCATCTTTTTCTATATGAGCCGGATATTCCTATGCTGATTTTTGCAGAATTATTGAATTAAGTAGAATTATATAAGTTCAACAATTTTCTCCTTATGAAAACAATGTGTTTGTACAAATCTGTAAGAAATCATGTAAGAATGACAACCTGTTGTACGGCTTACATAATTATATAGGAACAACAAGTTATTCACAGGTGTAGAATTTGACAAACCTGCCGGATAGAACATGAGAAAATCATCAGATATTCATAATTGATCAATGCATTTCCACATTAAGCTGACAATCTATTATAGTACATTTTGTAACTGATGACGGACCCCTTATGAATAATGGCATCTATAATTGTAAATGATATATAGCCCAACACCTCCCAAGGACTTAAACAGAAAAGTTTAATAGGCTCATACCATATATTATCATTCCCAGAAATTTTGCACCAAGGGACGTACAGAAGCAGATTGCAAAATAAAATACAATTCCAATAACCAGCAAAATTCTCACCTATTACACACAGGTTTACATATATTTGTATTGATACCCAAAATTTTGAAGAAATCTGTCCCTGAATTGATAAATACATAACGGTAAGTAGTCAAGTATAGCCAGCAGAGGACATCAACTCCTCTTAAATTGTGTTTTATCAGAAAAAAATCAACTATTTACAGCTTCATATCACATCACAATAATGCTGAATTTACAAAAAACAAGTCCATATAAAGCGAACTTCACAGTAGGATAATACATGCCTAGCAACACACTGATTTCAGTGTGATTCCAAACTTTGTTGTAGGGGTACAATAGTGTGATGTCATATGAATTGAAAACCAGAGCTGTAATTTTGTTATGAAAATATTTGTTCTCCAATAAGTCATGAAGTATATATTATCTTATATCATCTATTTTTATGAAACCTTTGACTGTTGAAGAAACTTTTTCAAGTCAGATTATCATTCTCTCCTCCTGTCACCAATGCCACTATATGAGAAGTGTTTCAGAGCTTGAGTGTACTAACCATACCACCAGAGCTTTAGCAGGACCCTTAATCAAACAATGTCACAAAGGTAAAATTTCTGTCAGAAATAAATAACATAACTAAAGGACTGTTAGATACCTGACCATATCTGTACTTTCTCTTTGGCATATAGTAATCAGATTCAATGGGATAGTGTTCTAATGAATCTATACTGCTAGATCAAAATATAACTATCATTATTTTCAATTAATTTTGAATTAATAGCAATAAACTTAACTGTTTACGATAAAAGATTGTAATTGTTAAAATATTTCCTTCATTGCGAATTGGACAGATCCCACTGTAAAATCATACCCGAGACATGGTGTGGGATATAACAACCTAAGAATAAGTCCAAAACAGTGAATTACAACTGTAATATAAAAGTACACACTAAAGATTGAAAAGCAGGTCCCCAACCTCATTTCTCATCAAATAAAAAAATGAACGTAAAATTTGATAAAAATCCCTTGTGTGTTTACAATCTCTATAAACAATTCTTTCATATGAATTATTGAAATGCTGCAAAAAATTCATGAGACATTTTATGTAAAAATTGGCTTTTTTATCACAAATATTTGTGGAAACATTGATTTACAAATTAGTATAATAAATAATTGTATAATTTCCTTTATTACAATATCAACGCAACAATACTTGAATCATTCATATTTTTCATAACAGCCTACTATGTTATATATCCTTTACTGCAGGAGTAGTTGAATTATGTTTTGCATTAATTATCATTTGAATAATTAAATGGAGACATTTTGAGGTGATTTTTCAGAAGGAGATAGTATATAATTATCCTTAGGCTTTCTTATGTATTAAAACCCATGACTTAATTACGATAAAAAACATTAAAAAGCTAAATTTGTATATTGAGTTATGGAAGTAAAATCTTGTTTTTTTTACAAACATTCAGCAAGGTGCTATAGCAGTTACCATTACTCTTTGATCATTGTGAAAAGAACAAGTGTGACTTTGATGTAAGGAATGGTCAATTAAACTGTTTATTTTAGGAATTCAACAACTAATTGACCACACAAAGTGCCTCATAGAAAAACAGTGAATATACTTCATTTGGAAATTTGTTCAAGACAATGACAAATATTAATATTTACAGACTTTGTCTACTTATTAAAACAGCTTCCAAGAAGACCAAATATTTCTACTTTCAAATTGTTTTCATTGTTGATAATTGCATCGAATGAAATGGTGACGAAATCATTTCTTTTCTAAACTGAATCAACAATAAGAAGTTTAACAATCACTATTTGCTGTGAAATTCCTGAGAAATCCTTAGAATAACCACAGAAACTGGTCTTATATTTGTACAAAAAAATCCTTATAAATGAGAATCCTTCAGCTAGTGATATCACAATCTCCGTAAGTAAATATGTACTGGCACAGGGTTTTATACACGTATATGTTTTTGGCACAAAAAAAAATGAATGAATTTGTATACATGTATATTGTAAGAATCAATTTGATTGGAAATCCAATAAAAAATCAACATTATACAATTTATATTTAGGCATAAAATTCTCATTTGTGCCCTTAAACTTGGGTCTATATCATTACAACAAAAATGGTTGAAATTAAAATTAATTTAGAGAAATACACCAATTCACAAACATTGTATGACTTCCATATTCCAGAAGGATGTTGAATAAACACATAAAATTTATAAGCTTACAGGGAGTATTTTACTTTCACTCTATTCATCAAATATTGTAACAGTCTTACAACACATTCCGCTGTGCTGTACACATCTTTTATCTTTGTGTCCTATTATTTGGTACTGACCTTGAAATTCAAGTGACCTTCAAGGTCACCATCAGGTGACATGGTATAAGTTGCAATGTATTGCTTCATTTGCTTAGATAACAGACCCGCTATAGAATTACACCCAGTCGGAAGTATCATCTGATATTTTACGGCAAAATCATTCTTCTTCGTCTTCATCAGCATCATCAAACTGTCCTGTCTCTGCTGCGAAGGCTACCTGGTATTTGATTATTGGTTCTGTGTGGATGTCGTAAGGCAGAAATAAATGTTCATCCACCTCATAGCCAGCCTCAGCCAAAGTTTTTGGACGTGGGTGCTGGTATATGTTGTTGAAGTCGTCTGCAAAGATACAAAGGACTTAAAATTTCAGTTACATACAAAATCACAGATGGTGTTATCTAACTGTATTTTCTAAAAACATTTTTTTGATATTTATAATCGAGGCTTTATTTTTGATGATTCAGTGTACTTATTTACTTGTAAAACTGCAGTCTTCAGTGGATACCATTATTCTCTTACCCTGGACAGGGATATTCACCATTTTACTGGTGTGAGATTTTCTTATCTCACTCTAGGGTTGAGACAAGCTACATGTGCTCTTTGCACGTTCTCAACAATTGTATGACAACATAGCAACAATACCATGACGTCACGGCAATAATACAATGACGTCGTGTCGACAATTCAATCGCATCATATCAACATTGTCTTGAATTGATGTAACGGCAATATCATTAGATAAGAGGGTAAACAGGGTAAGAGAAAAATAATCATTCACCTCCTTGGGAGTGAAACAGGGGATCTCAACCCTCTGGGTAAGATTCTATTAATCTGCTGCTTGAAATATACTTTAAACTTCATGATTACCTACATTGTTCTCATTTCTACTGAAATCCATCTAAGAACTAACACCATACCATATGGATTTTCTGTTTGTATTTCTTCAATCTCTGCATCCCAATCTTCCACAGGTTCCGATGGGACCTCTGGACCTTCCCCTGGTACTGGTTCTGGTACCTTCGAGACTGGATCCTCTTGATTCCCTGTGAATGAAATAGCAGTGAAATCAAACCACAAACAACTAACACTATCATATGTAGATTTTAAGTCTCTCTCACAAGGATTCTTTTCTTTCTAGTTTTGTATTACTTTATTCGAATTATTATGAGAAAATGTAAAATGTTGTAATCCTCTGTAAAAGGAAATATTTGCCAGTTGTTTACATCCCAATATAGTATTCAAACAGAAATCAAATACTAGTTTCATGTTGTTTAAAGTCCTAATGCTCCCTACCAAATGCAGTACTTTCCTCAGTAAATGTTCATACCTTTTATAATAAAATTTTATAATACTTGAGCTAAAGCTCAGGTGACCTAAAAAGGTGTACAATCACCATCATACATAAAGCTAATCATCTCAATATGCACATATGTAAAGGGTGGTATGTACATGAAGTCTGTGCAAAGAGCCTAAAATGCAGACGTGAAGAGGTGAGTTTTTATCTTGTTTAATGATTAAAAACATTATTAAGCATATAGTAAAACGACTAAGGACTTCATTTCAGTGAATATGTGATTACAGTATTTGGACCTGAGAAAGTGATATTGACATGGAGATCATCTTAATCAATATAATTTTCTCAGGTCCATTATAACCATGTAATCACTTTAGCAATAGTCCATAATTGATAAATATTTATTTCTTTGTTTTTGATTACTAACTAGTAAAGAAACAAAAACTTTTGAACAAAAATTATAAATAACCAGTTATAGCATACCATGTTTTCTTGTTTTGGGAAAGAAAAGTGGTGGCTCAAAGTTATCATCTCCATTGAATTCCTCACTTTTGCTGTCACTACTTGCTTCGTCAATCTCCTCTGAGGTCTTTGAGCTGTATGGTATGTGTCCTCTGTCATATTGATGGACATATTTCTCTCGTTTCTGGGGACCAGTGTGACTTCGCCAGATTGAGGAACAGAGGTTTAGCTCAGCCGCTCGTCTGTACAGATCCTGAGAGTAACCATTGTTAGCGGTTTGATCATCCTCTTCCTCACTCTCGTCTTCTTCCCTCTCCATCAAAGAGACCTACCACATAAAACAGTCTTTAAGTTAGAAGAAATATGTACATTTATACATCTTTAATGCTAATAAAAATTTCATGGTCTTAAAGTTAATTTAAGTTTACTTTCACAGCAGCACATACATGTTATTGTACAAACATTCTTAGCGCTCACATTAAAAATCCATCCATTACTCACAATAATGATCTGAAATTTGGACACCTCAAGTTTATCAATAATTTTTCAATATAAACTAGAACACTGTCCTATCAGTAAGGGTCCAACCTAGTACAAGTTACAAACTAGCACCACATTTAAAATTCACCTTTCGGTAGATGATATGATGCATGATGATTTTCAGAGAAATTCCTATGGCCGATGGGCCATCAACTAAACAAGAAACTAGTGTATTCATTGTTGCTATGAATATGTGTAGTTTTCAAAATTTTTGATATGTTTAAAAAAAATCCGAAAGTAACAAAAATAAAGATATACAATGTACAATAATAATTTCTAACTGATAAAGACTGAAATAAGTTCAAAAAATACAAGTAAACAAACAATCTCGCTTAAAGTCAACACTATAGAGTACTTGATTTTTGTGTAATAAGTTCAAAATTATTTTATCGCAGGACACTACTAACCAAATATCATTATCATTTGCCCAACAGTTGTTTAAAGGAATGGTTGATGAATAATTGATGGATGGACATACAAACAACAGACACACAACAGATGCCACTCACTGCATAAGCTCACTTGGCTCTTTAGCCAGATGACCTGAACATATGCAAAATATCAACTTTCAAAATTTGCTTGTGATCCTCTGATAAAGAGTTAGGTTCGAATATCAACAGTACTGTTCAAATTTAACCATCACAAGCTAGTTCTAAGCACACAATTGTTAAAGTTTGACCCTGTGGAATTCAACCTCTATATCATTAGTAGTCTTTCTACAGTAAATACTCCCTATATGTAAGGGACTATATCGTGGGACTATATTGTGGGACTATATCATTAGTACTCTTTCTACAGTAAGTACTCCCTATATGTAAGGGACTATATCGTGGGACTATATCGTAAGCGTTCCTTGTTTAATGTTTGGTATCCTAGTACCTTGTCAGCTAGACTCTTAATGTCATCATCATGAACGAGGAGATCCTGACGGGGTCGCCCACGCCAGTTGTTTCTTAGGTTTGGGTCACGTTTGGCGTAGATGGTCTTCTTTCTCAAGGTGGGAACCTCCTGCCAAGGAATGGACAGCTTGTTCTGTAGAAGTAAATAGGCCAATGTATATGGATCTGATATTGACAGATAAACATGTCTGAATTATTCCTTGATTCTCCTTACTCAGTTCAAAGTTTTCATTATTGACATCCACCAAACACATCGCCACACCTAATATCATTAACAATAACTGGCACATCATGATAATTAGTCGGGATCCAGTATACAGATTTAAATTGACTTTCAATGAAACTGATTTTCAAAAATCAATATCAGAGTCAAGATCCCATTTTTATTTGTCAATATTTAGTTGAACATGCTTCTTTCAATATTCTTGTATCAAAGATATTTATAGTCTTAGCAATAAAAGAGAACTATTTGTATAACAGCAGTTAACCTTACCCAGTGACCATTAATACAACTGTACAAACCTCGTTCAAATCCAAACGGATAAGTTTGGTGAAATATTCTATAGCTGTAGGGATTTCCGAGAGCTTGTTGTTGAATAAGTCCAGAGTATTGAGATTGATCAGTCCACTGAATGATTCTGGCAGCTCCTCCAACTGTCAACATGAAGTACAAGTATATTACACCTAGCAACAACTGTCTCTTATATAATATATCCTCAATGCAACAAACATATTTACTGCATTAGGTTGGTCAGGATGTTCTACAGCAGTGAAGGAATACTTATTCAAAAACCTTACAAACAACTAATCAGGAAGTTCCCAGCTTTGATAATCCATCTAAAGATGCATTTCATCTTTGAATAACTAAACCTGTTAAAAAAAATACCTGATGTTAAGAAAAACCTGTACAATTTTCATGGTTTTTCATAATCTGATCTGATGTTTAGAAAATTGAAATATTTGCTTTCCTAAACATAAACCACATTAAATCCAACAAATGTTATTCTTTCTTGTATCCAAGAAGATTGGAACAGTCTCTGTATGTCATAAAAATTTCATCTCATAAGGTTTATGAAACTTTGTACATGTCCTTAAGTTCCTGTAGAGCCTGGTTTAATGAAAAACTTGTTCCATCAGATTCACATTGGAGTTTACAGATAAATTTTAAATGTCTGGTATGGGCTGTATTTAATTATGATCTTTGAACAAGACTTCTTATTAACATCATTATGGATCTATGTATACTAAACATGTTAGAAACTGAGAAGCATTGGGAAGTCCTTTAACAACACTGAAGTTTACCAGATTGTTGTCCAGCCTTAGGTCCTGTAATGCAGTCAGATTTCCAAAGGAACTTGGGAGAAGTTGAAGCTTGTTTTTTGACAGCTGACAAAACTTCAGAGACTTCAAATTTCCAAATGATTCCGGCAAATCACTTAAGAGATTCTGACCTGAAAACAACAAAGTTTATATAATGAACATTAAATTAATAGAAGAAGATATATATATAGAGGATATCCAACAGTTCCTTGTTGAATATATATTCAAAGTTATTGAATTTCTATTACATTTTAAAACATAGACAAAAATTATCTGCATTAATTTAGAAAGTGTGTGGATTAGTAGAATTTTTTTTAGCATCCTATATTAAAATGACATCATACTTGACAAGCTACTAGGCTAGTTCTGTTTGTCATTTAAATGGACTAATCAATACAATGCAATCATTTCTGCTATTAATACAAGTTTTATAACGAGTACCGCGGGGCGGAACAATATACGCCCATCGAATGCCATATAGAGTTATATACTTTCTTACATTGAAATAAGATCTGCACCATTATAAGAGTGGTTAGCTGACATGCTATAAAAAATGTAGAAGAAAATCTCCGGACAAAAAAAATCAAATACTGAAATGAACAAAGGGCAATAACTTTTGCAAAAAATCGTCAAATCAAAATTCTTTCAAATGAGACACAACTTCATATCATGATTATAGTGTATACCAAGTTTCAAAGAGATCCGTAGAAAAATGTAGGAGGAGATTGCCGGACAAAAATCAAATACTTACATAAACAAAGGGCAATAACTTTTACAAAAATTAGTGAATCAAAATTCGTTTCAAGGAAACACAACAACATATCCTGATTATTTAGCCTACTAAGTTTCAAAGAAATCCTTCAAAAAATGTAGGAGGAGATCTCAGGACAAAAAATAAAATACTGAAATGAACAAAGGACAATAACTTTTGGAAAAATTGTTGAATCAAAATTCTTTTAAGGGAGACACAACTTCATATCATGATTATAATGTATAACAAGTTTCAAAGAGATCGGTCGAAAAATGTTAGAGGAGATTGCCGGGCAAACAAAAGTTTACGCCGGCCAGACAACCCCATACCATAATACTTCCGTCAAATTTGACGGGCGTATAAAAAGATTCTTGTTTGGTGTAATTTGGTTTACTTTTGTTTAACGTCCTATTAACAGCTAAGGTCATTTAAGGACGTGCATCCATATGCATGTAGTGTATGCGTACTTGCGTGCATGTTTTGCTGGAGACAGGGTATGTTGGTTGTGTTTGCCTACTTGTGATAGCTCGGATCTGATGCCGACTTTATAGTGCTATCTCACTGAAATACCATGCCGAAGGCACCCAGCACAGCAGGTCACATTATACTGACAAGGGGTGAAAAAGATTCTAAAGCTCGAGGGATCATGCAATTGGCACCTGCCATGAATCCTAACACCTAGATCTTCTTTAGTTCTATTAATGCAAGAGAGATCTCTTCTTTTCCCTTATCAATTAATATCTGATGGGTTGATATGCCAACAGTAATTCACCTTGTGGTAACTTTTGATCAAAACATCTGTGTAGCTACTTCTGAGACAAAAACATGAAGGCTACCATATGCAGCTATCTTGTATTTTTGTTTATATTTTTTTCCCCAAAAGTAGACATGAACAACTAAGGATCAGGATCCCCAGAGGAACCTAATTTGTGAAACTCAAAAAAATATTCCTACAGTAATTAAATTACTGAGAATTAGCAATTACAAAGTTTAACTGCTAAAATCAAAGATAACACTTGGAAGAACAAGTCATCCAATGCAATAATTTGTGGGTGGTCGGATGGCTCAGTGGGTAGCACACTTGCCTTTCACCAAGACGACCGGGGTTTGATCCCCTGATCGGACGTGAAAAGGTTTTGTGTCACCTGGCCGACCACGTGGGTTTCTCCGGGCACTCCAATTTTCTCCCACATTAAGACCCCTGCACGCTAACATCTGGGCTAACAAGAGTGATTTACATAAGTTAAAATAGCTTGTTTCATAATTGTTGTAAAATAAATAAAGTTAACAATGCAATCAGTCTTAATATTAAATGCACACAACTAAGAACCAACATATAATAAATCAAAAATTGAGAGAAAGATATAATCAGAATTTCTTAGCAATAATAAGAATCAAGGATAGATGACAGATCTAAATAGATCAATCACAAAAAGTGATTTGAACTGGCCCCCATTTTATGATAGCTATATAGTTGGCTAATAAAAGTTGGATGATTTTACTTACCCAGATCAAGAAATTCAAGGCATGCCAAGTTACCAAACTCTTCTGGTAGTGCTTGAAACAAATTTTCATTTAAATGGATTTCTTTAAGGTTAGCTAAATCTCCAATGCTATTTGGTAAATAACTCAGCCAGTTGCCATTCTGGAAGGCCCACCTTTCAAGTTCATCTATCACACTTCCAAGAAAAAACTTTTCCAAACTTCTAAGTTTACCAATGGAATCTGGCAGTTTTGTCATAAAGTTTCCTCCAAAGTCAAGCAGTTTGAGCTTTTTGCAGTTTTCTCCAAATCTGTCAGAGAATGGCTCATTGTGGAATTTATTGTCCTTCAAAGAAAGTTCAACAGCTTCATAGAGATCTTCTATCCAGTCAGGCATTTCTGCCAACTGATTTCTATCAGCGTACAACTTTTTTAATCTGCAAGCAGAGTTGAAGTGAGATGGTAGAAATTTAAGGAAATTCCCAGACAAATCCACAGCTTCCAGATTGTTTAAGTCCCCTAACATTTCTGGAATTGCTTTTAGTTTGTTGTTGCACATATTAAGGATGCGTAAACATTTCAGCCGCCCGATTCCATCATTTACATGATCTATTTTATTCTCTTCCAATTCAAGTATTTCTAAACTTTCCAACAAACCTAATGTGCTTGGAAGACTTTCCAACTTGTTGTCGTCCAGGCATAATGTTTGCAGATTTCGGAGTTCACCAATGTTTTCTGGTAATGCTTGGAGACTATTTCCTGTTGCCTTGAGTACCTGAAGATTTGTTAATCCACATATTGACTCACACAATTCGGTCACACAATTTTCATTAAAATACAACTCCCTTAAACAGCTTACACAACCAGTAAAAACAGGCAAACTGGTGATTTCATTTCCTGTTAGAGAGAGCACTTCCAAATTGGGGAAGTATTTAGAAAAATGTTCAGGCAATGACTCAAGGTCGTTGTAGTCAAGAAGAAGCTGTGTGACCTGGGACGATGAGCTGGTGAGAATGTCCTCTGGCAAACTCTGAAGGTCACGAGATGACAAGTCTATTTCTGCAGAACCTGTATCTACATCAGAGGCAATAACCTCCATATTTTCTGTTTCACTCGAGGCCGGCATCATCCGTCAAACTAAAATAGGTCTGCAGAATGGATATTTTCAAGTTCTACAATCAAAAAATAAGAAGCATTATCAGTTAATATTTCAATATGGTTAGGAAATAAATGTCAGTTATATGCATTAGACATAAAACGGTTCTGTTGGTTGACTTCAACCAAAGGAACTAGCCTCGTCTGTCAATACACCCATAAGATTATATTATGGGTGTATTGACAGACGGGGCTAGTACCTGTGCATCAATAATGTGCTGTGGTAAGTATTGATTACATATATACCAGAGAACTTAAAGGTAGACCCTAACCATCATCAAACCGAATAAAAAATGTACACAGTCAACTTTCTTAACCAGATGCCCAACAGGACCTTGGAATAAACAGATTTACAAACTATATGCCTGTAGATTTAATATATGTAGATATATACATTCAATAACACCTTGATCTAAATTTGTCAGATACTTGCAGTAATGACATTTTAATATGTATCCATGTTTTGCAATGTGACACAAAACATAGATGAGCATTATTAGAATGTTAAAACAGCAAATATTTGACAAGAAATGCCCTAATTGTAGTTGTTTGGACTAGGTCAATCGTCTGCAACTGGTGAAAAGGGGATGGATTCTCGAACAGGGGTTGTTAACAGTTCTGGGGCGAAGACTTGCGAAAAAGAGGGAGGCACTTGATTTGGTTGATCGCTAGCGATCACATAGCTCAATTGGTATAGCATGTCTCAGTCTATTTGGAGGGTCTAGGGTTCAAATCCTGGTCTGGCAGTGCATTTTTCCACTCCTCCTATATAATGTAAGCTTTATATATTCTTCATATTGGAGATCATCGATCCCATAAATAAGGAGCTATATCTTTTGAACATCCCTGTTTACCACCTGGACGGAAATGCTTTGAAGCAATTGTCGCCAAGAACAGAGCTTTTCATTAACAGAATTTAGTGTTGAAAAAATCGAAGTGCAGCAATTATGCCTGTGCAATTTAAATTATTCATCATTTTGATATTGGAGCATGAATGATCATGAATTTTCAAGCTCATGAATCACCATACTACTTATCTATAGCATTATTCATAAACTTAATGGGTTTGATGTGTTATGGTTGATAAATCCCAGGTAAAGGCAAAATATATTTTGATTTGCTTCAAGTTGGGAACTATTTTAACCGATTGGCTTACATTGTAAATAAGCATATTATTGTCGCTGTAAACAGGGAGATTTCAGTGAGTGATGCTTAAATTGGGGTTTGTTTACGATACATTCATTTCTTGATACTTAAATGGTGCAAGTATCCAGTGACGAATGATTTGTAAACAAAATCAATAATTGCGAGCACCCGTGGATCATGCCCAATTCTTCTTTAGTAGGCTAGTGAATTTGTGCTCTTGGTTTGTTTGAAACGACATTTTCGGCACCGGTGAGCCGACCGTGGGGCCATCTGGAAATAAAAATTTATACATTCTGAAATATACACACTTACCAAATAAACGAAAACCCATACAGTTCAGGTCTATTAAGCGTTTACAAATAGTTCTGAATAAAATTAATTGATTTCACTTTTGACTGACTATCTACTTTCTGTGGAACGCTTCATGTTACAAGCCAGCTCACGAGAGCTCACGAAACTTACCGGAAGTTTACAAACGCGCGGTCCTACCAAAAATGAAATTGATTTAATGCAGTTACAAATGTAACATATGAAATTAAAAGATTGATAACTTAATCTCAACTTGAAGAGAACATAACAGTGCATTATTATTTGATATGTTCCTACTTAATATTATAAAATAATAATATTATATATTTTACGACAATAGATAACTCACTTTCGGCAGAGGATTTGACAGGCGCTTGTTTTGATTCGACACAATGTCGTTCACAGTAGTAATAACGGAGTTATGAAGTGCTGTGGCTTCCGTAAAGTCCTATGGTGAAGCTGAATATTGTCAAGACACTGTCAAGGATTGCCAGTATTGGAATTTAATTAAGGTTATATCATACTGAAATCTAAATTGTAGATTTGCATGTAGATGCATGCATGCTCTGACTTGTCTTCTGTAGGTACTGTACTCACTGGGTAGAGAGTACCATTGAGGGTGTCATATATTTGATCCTGTCACTAACATGTCAGTGTCGATAATTCATTTATTCAGTTAAACTTAAAAGACAGCATATATACTTATACACATGTGTTTCAACATAATGAATATTGTATTCTTTAAATTAAGTTAGTCCGAAATGATGGAACTATAAGTTATAACTACAATTTGTATCCCCATCTATTTATTTTTGATGGGGCGGAGATACAACAAGCAATTAGACAGAAAGTGTATTTGATAGAATACTATTGATGATATACAATACAAGAAAAGAAAGATATCAATTATTTTGGGAAATTGGTATGATATATACATTTAAAATGACAATAAAATCAAATTGCAATCAAAACTAAATCATTTAAAAAAAGTGAGGTCTACTTTAAGGTGGCTCGACACATCGTCATCAGCGTCCATTTTCGTGACGTACTTCCGGAAAAAGTACAGCTCGGACTCAATTATCTTGATCGAAATGTGCATGTACACCGTGTCGTCATTTCCGTTTTGCGTATCGGGTATTCAATATCGTAGTGCAAATTATAGTAACACCTGGGCCGTTTGCGTTTAAACGGTCAAAGCGATCGGACCACTGTTGTTCGTTTATTAAATAAGGTAGGACCTAGTTATCTGATGCTGCTTTCAGGCGAGCCTTGAGAAAGCCTTGCAAGTCTTGCATACACATTTGTAGGTCCGCCAGGATTTATACCCGGAATTGTTACATTTATAAACGGTCAAACCGGTTGTTCCGCATAAACGAACAGGCCCCTGGTAAACAATAGTA